TTTTAAAGATTGTTTTTTGCCCGGCGACTTGGCCGGTTACCGCTGGTATTTAAAAACATTAATGGGCGAATGTTTAGGGTGGCGCGATAGTCTGTAGTGAAGGAGCGCGCTCCCGCTCACGGGAAGCCCTGCTCGCACTCCGCTCCCGCATCAGCAAACAGCCTGTTGCTTTTTCACCCAACAACGACAACCGACTCAACAAAACGCTATGTTGTAGCGTTAATAAACGAAACAATTTTAACTAAAATTGCAGTCCCAAAAATACCAATACCCACAGGACAATTCATTTTTTTTTTTTAAATTGCAAGTCAAAATACCAATACCACAGGACAATTCTTTTTTTTTAAAGCAATATTTTTTGTGGCCCAAGCGGGCAAGTGGAAAGTACGTTATGCTGGCCCGGGATGTCTAAATAGTGCTTCCGGGCCAGCGGGCCAATTATAATGTCGAGCCCTGTGTTAAAATGTTGCATTTTAACAAGAGCCTTCATTAGAAGCTCTGCAAGCTACGACAACAGGAATCTAGACACTCTGAAGGAGGCTTATTCCCTTGAAGAGATTATGTCTGGGGTTGAGTTGTAATCACTGAAGCATCTTAATTTAAGACCCACTAGAGGCTGATGTGAAAATTGTGACTTTGGCAGGAAATTGTCTGTTCCGGAAATATAGATGAAGAACAAAAAGTCCTCGTTGGTTATAACCTCATCTGCAATTTCTTTCATGTTTTCTTTCTTTCTACAGGCAAAAGAGATCCTGACCAAGGAGTCAAATGTCCAGGAGGTGAGATGTCCGGTGACGGTGTGCGGCGACGTGCACGGACAGTTCCACGACCTCATGGAGCTGTTTAAGATCGGAGGGAAATCTCCAGACACAAACTATTTGTTCATGGGAGACTACGTAGACCGAGGGTACTACTCCGTAGAAACCGTCAGTTTACTAGTAGCACTTAAGGTTAGTCTTGATTTTGAAAAGACCAATCAATTTGATCCATAACTGACAACTTTTTAAGGAATATAGTTAGTTTATAGCTCTGTTTTTTCCTTTTGTTTCAGGTACGCTATCGTGAGCGCATCACAATCCTGAGAGGGAACCACGAGAGCAGACAGATCACACAAGTTTACGGCTTCTATGATGAGTGCCTAAGGAAATATGGAAACGCCAACGTGTGGAAGTCCTTCACAGACCTTTTCGATTATCTCCCCCTCACTGCCTTGGTAGACTCTCAGGTGAGAATCTGCGTTGGTTGGTGTTAGATAAATGTACAGTTTGTTGTAGAATGAAATACATAATGTTGCTAGTATTGGAAACAATATTTTGTTGTAATGGAAACAGAAGCTGAAGGTCCTCGATGTCGTTGTTTTAATGCTGAAAATGTTGTTTCATTCGCCCAGATTTTCTGCCTTCATGGAGGCCTTTCCCCGTCCATAGATACTTTGGATCACATCAGAGCACTGGACCGTTTACAGGAAGTGCCGCACGAGGTAAATATAAAAGTTTATTTTTATGTTCCTGTACATGACAAGTCCAAAAAAACCACATATAGAACAGAAAACGATCAATAATTGTCTGTCAGTACAATTAACCTGATCATGACCAATACTAAAATCAGAAAGGAAGCAATGTGTTTATATTCTCTTTTCTCCATAATTCAGTGTATTTGCAATTAAAAATTGAAATGTTAATGTCTATTGCACTACAGCCCTTTATTAACTGTATATGATTTCTTTCTTGACATGTGTGTTGGTGTTTCCTCTCTAAAACGCTCCTCTTCCTCATGTCTCCTTCAGGGTCCCATGTGCGACCTGCTGTGGTCGGACCCTGACGATCGCGGCGGCTGGGGCATCTCCCCCCGAGGAGCCGGCTACACTTTTGGCCAGGACATCTCTGAGACCTTCAACCACGCCAACCGCCTCACTCTGGTGTCCCGAGCCCACCAGCTGGTTATGGAGGTGCGTGTCTGTCATTTTACCAGACAAACGCACCCTTTTTGGTTTGAACCAGGGTTATGGCTGTTACAATAAATAGACCTCGTAGATGCAGTCAAGAATGACCTACAATGTTTATTTATTCAAGTAATGCTTAAAGGGGAATTATTAAGTTATTTTTAGGTTCATACTTGTGTTAAGGGTTGCTACTAGAACATGTTTTCATGCATTCATGTTCAAAAACCACATGGTTGTTTTCATACTGTCCATCTGAAGACACCTGTGTAGACCCTTTCTCCTTACATTTGGATCAGTTCCAAATTGAAATGGGTTCTGCCTTGGCCCGAGCTACATCCTTCTTCCATGTTAGAGGAAAATAAGGCTAGTGATTTAACATGATCCTGTAACATAAAACAGACAACTAAACAAACCAAACCTAACTGAAAAACTAAAGAAATATACCAACCACTGCTGCTACAGAACACAACAGCACACATGGATATACCAACAGCTAGCACTCTAGTTTAAAAAATGTACATTAGCCAGGGTTCTTACGGTCATTAAAAACCTGGAAAAGTCATGGAAATTCAAAATGCTAATTCCAGGCCCTGGAAAAGTTATGGAAAACAATATTTTTTCCAAAGTTTTGGAAAAGTCATGGAAATGTAACTAAATTTGCATCCAATATAGTTTATATTTTATCTAATCGCCGAAATAGTAATACTATAATGATAATAAATACTGTATCGTATAGTAATGAAACGTAAAATGGCATTTAGCTGTCGAGGTGTTTTGCTGGTGAGAGATTTTAGTTGCTTTAGCGTGTAGAAGCTAGTAAGCCTACTATTGGATTTGTTTTAGATAGGCACAACATGTTTCATATGCAGACCTTATTTTCCTATTCCATGTTAAAATAAACCATTTTCAGTGGTACACTGAGAAAGAGTAATGTTTTTGGTCATGGAAAATGAGGTAAAGGTCATGGAGAAGTCATTGAAAATCATTGGTGAAAAAGTGTATGAACCCTGAGCACTTTATCTCTGGTAATTAATACATCTGCTTCTTTCAGGGTTACAACTGGTGCCATGAGAGGAATGTGGTGACAATATTTAGTGCTCCTAACTACTGCTACCGCTGTGGCAACCAGGCAGCTATCATGGAACTAGACGACACCCTCAAATACTCATTGTAAGTATAACAAAAAAAAACACCTTAATTGTGTACAATGTACAAATTGTCTAACTTGTCTTATTTATTATATTTACAACACTTTTGTTTCAATTTAATGATTGATTGACAAATCTATTTTTTTTGTTCTTTTCCTAACCAGCTTGCAGTTTGACCCTGCGCCTCGCAGAGGAGAGCCTCATGTCACTCGCCGCACCCCCGATTACTTCCTGTAAACTCGCTGCCCTTTCACCCTTGTACAGTCAGTTCCAGTATTGCCATGACTTTCACTGAAAACAACAAGAATAAGGAAGGGGAGGGTTGGAGTCTGGCGGGCTACACAGCAGTACACATTGTATATCAACACAAAGATCTATTTAAGCATTTATCAAAAAAACAATGTCTGTTTATTTAGGCATTAAGCAAAAGTTGGGTGCCATAATCGTCTCAATATTCATTGCTGAGGACTTGTATTAAAAAAAAAACAACCTTGCTATGTAAAACAGTTTAAATTCCTCATTCTCTACCTGGTGTAGCTGGACTGAAGATGAAACTTTGCTACTGTTTGAACCCCACATGCCATGGCTGACATGTAGAGATCTGAACATTATCTATTTGCACTTTTGTAAATCTCAACAAATGTAACATTATGTCAAAAGATGAAAATTATTTCACACTACAGATGTTCTTGTTTTTTTTTCCTTTTTTGATTTTTTTTAAATGACACCTAAAGCCCCCATCATTCAACTTTTTTCAAACGTTTTCTGTCCTGTGTAACTTTTAAAATAAACCGTCATTATGCAGTCACACAGCTTGGTTTATAAGATGTTTCAGATGATCCACATCAACCCATTGACTCCCTCTGAATGACCGTCTGTTCACCAAAACATTTGAATAATAAAGACATGAAGGTGGCTCCTTGATTGTGTTTGAATTTCCTTTTTTGTATTTTTATGATACTATTTCTTGACTTTGTTTTTGACATTCTATACAATGACTTTTCTGTGAATTTATTTTTGAAACACCATGTCATTAAGAAAAGAGGTCGTCATTGAACTGGTTGTTTGGATGACCTTAGGTTCTTTACTAACCCATAAGATTAAGGACTTAAATCAAAGTCCAACACATGACCAGTACATTACATCTACCAGAAGTTATATCATGTAATCTTAAGAATAGGAAAGTGGAAATTGTGAATAATTTTGTTTTTAAAACCTTGTACTGTGACATTTTTTCTGACTTTTGTTATACTAGGAATATTTCCTTTCATCACATTTGATAACATACTTTACTACTAGCCTACTTTTAATGACTTTTTATAAACATAGGCCTACTGTTTATAGTAATGAATATAGTACAATACTCCCAGACAAATATTTCCAATTAATTAAATAACGTGAAGTTCATCCAACAAAATGTGCTAGATCTAATGCAAGTTTAAAAAAAATAAAGACCAAATTAACAAAACGGACAGAAAACCTGTGCCTTGTTATTTAACATGCTTTGCACCTAATCAAATCAAAAGGAATAAAAACACATTTTAACACACTTAATGTTCACTTCCATCGACAACATTTTACATGTTATTTATAAGTAGGCCTATTAGCAATTAAAATGTATTTGAATAATTATGATAATCGTATAATGACAGCATTGGTCTCATAGTTTGTGTCGATTTATATTTTGTATTCAATTATTTATTATTTTTATTATTATTGTTATTTGTATTATCATCAGGGATAAGCTTAACGGCATTAACCTAAATCTGTAGCTAGTATATAAATATCTAAAATAAATGTAGTCTAGTAAAAAGTTTAAAGTAGCATAAAGCGAAAGTACTCAAGTAAAGTACAAGTACCTACATGTTCTACTTAAATACAGAATTTGAGTAAATGGGTGGTTATCACTAGTGGTTACTAAAGGTCGGATACATTTCGGAATCTTTATTTTTGTGTGTACATTTAAAAATATTTGGAACAGAGTTAGACCAACAGGAAAAGCAGCCTCCCCCCTCGCCCCCTCGCTCCCCCGCTCTCTGACAAAGCGCTCCACAGCCGCCGGGAGCAGCAGACTCATAAACCAAACAGCCCCGCGTCTGTCAGGCCCTGCTGATCAACACAGAGGAACCTTACCTCTGGATCTGAGGAAAAACATTTACGGTACGTAGCTTCCCAACGCAAAATGTGATTTTTGTTTTACACGTTGTTTATCTTTGAAAATTGAAGTCAAACCGCCACTCAGGTTTTGTTTACATCTTTGTTTCAGTAGCATCGGTGTTGGTTGCTAAGAGGCCTCACTACATCGCAGGGCGCTAGCTTAATATCAAGCTAAATGCTAGCATAGTGCATGGTAATGCTAGCTCATATGTATTTAACCTTAGCTATTGGGCAATTGTTTTGGTTGTACTAACATACAAGTCGGGTTTTGTTGCTTACAATGTGGATTTAATATTTAATGCAGTAACAATGCATCTATTTAATGTAAGTTGATTATCCACCTTATAGCAACTAGCTATTTGGTTAGCATTACCGTCGTTTAGCCTGTGTTAACAGTTGACTAGCGTTAGCTTAATGTGTCGTTTGTTAGGTTGAAAAGTATCGCTTTAGAGCTACATATTTATACTTAGAAATGCTAATAACATCACCCTCACAGGTAAGGTTTAAGTATATTAACCCCTGTAGCAGTTTTAACCTCAATAATATAGCAAGCTGATCATTAACGATGTAAACTGACAAGCTAGCAGTCACGTAAATACAGGATTAGCTAGCTGCAGAGTTAGCAGACCAGACGGGACATTTTTGGGAAAACTGTGACTGTTGTTACTTTTTTGAACAGTTGGTTATATTTATTTACTTAATAATGTCATTGTTTGTCTTTACAGATAATGCCCACGATAAAATTACAGAGCTCTGATGGGGAAATCTTCGAGGTGGATGTCGAGATCGCCAAACAGTCTGTCACCATCAAGACTATGTTAGAAGGTATCTCAAACCATTGCACTCTTTTGAGTCCATTTCAACTTGATGCTAACTTTGTGTAATAAGTTGTCTTCTTTGCCCTTTATATCGTTGTATTGTAATATTTGCAATTGGCTGTAGATATAACTGACTAATGTAAGTCACTCATTGATTCTTTGACAGATTTGGGAATGGATGATGAAGGAGACGATGACCCAGTTCCTCTCCCTAATGTTAACGCTGCCATCCTCAAGAAGGTACACACACACACACACACACACACACACACACACACACACACACACACACACACACGTGTTATAGGTGTGTTGATAGAACTGTCCCTGGTTAAATTACTAATTGCCAGTTAATCACATTGTGTGAAAGTTGCTTCTTTCTGCCTCTTCAATGGTATGCTTGTGCACCAGAGCTGCAGTTATTTCAAACAAGGTTTTTCCTGCAGTATGTTGGTTAAATTGGTATGTGTGTGTGTTCCCCTCAGGTGATTCAGTGGTGCACCCACCACAAAGATGACCCTCCTCCTCCTGAGGACGATGAGAACAAGGAGAAGAGGACAGATGACATTCCTGTATGGGACCAGGAGTTCCTCAAAGTGGACCAAGGCACCTTGTTTGAACTCATTCTGGTAAATACAGTTTACATTGTATTACACTCACTTGCATGCATTCATAGAGGTTGAAAATCATTTGAACTACAACCATTAATCTGCTAAACCACCACCTCTCAGCTGAACTCCAACCAATAGACCAGCGTTAGAAATGTTTACTGGTTAAATATTTGATTAAGCATGCAGTCAGTAACTAAACCTTTTTGGTATTCTATCATTTGATTTATCTAGAGATTTACTTTTAAAGCTTTATCATTGCAGGAGTTCTCTTTTACTTTATAGCCTCTTATTGACATATTTTTTATATTTGAATGTGCATATTTAGTTTGGAATGTCATTCCCTGCTCTGATGCAGTGGTGAGCGGTTTCATTTGGTTGCCAATGTGCAAAACTTGCTTAGCAATAGCTAGAAGATAGATGGTTGGCTGTTTTTAGGGATTTAAAACGATACCGTTTTTAAAGTTATAACCCACATGAAGGGATCTTTGGCTTACATGCATTTACTCTGGGGACGATCTGAAGGGAAACAAGAGAGCACGTGACAGGTAGCACAGGCAGTTCCTGGGAAAGATTAGGAAATAAGTGTTGGACAAGCTGTGGGCTTCCGGGAAGTGAAACCCAAGTGGAGTGTTCGTCATTTGTGTTCCCCCCCCGTGGCTGTTAGAATGTGTTTACAAGCACACGGTTACTTCATGCTTTAGTGAGGAGTGCGAAGCTTTTTCAGTGACCACCACATGGTTTATGTAAGGTATTAACCGGTATTATGGGATTTGTTATCTGAACACAGCAGGCTTTGATCAATCTGATCAGTGTTTACTTCTAGTTGCAAAGGATCTGATCAGATTTGTGTGTCAAAAAATCCCTGTGTCCAGATTTTCCTTAAAAAAAAATCTTGATTTTCCTGGTCTGGTCTTAACAAGGCCGTACTAATTTATACTGCTTTAATTTGGCTTATATCTAATGAGCATTCAAATTGCCTGGCCTTCTTGGTTATAACACACAATACATTTACACTTTGTATGTGTTCTGTATCTGAATAAAATCTCTGAATGATTTTTCGTCTTTTGCTTTTTCATTGTCTCGATTTGGCCTACAATGTAATCAAATCTCAATATGCACAAGGTCTGTCCGATAACAAGAAGACGATCACTGCTACTATTTGTAGCTTTCTTAAGTTAGCAGCTGTTTGCATTTACACCAGTGCTTTTTTCTAACATCCTTATAATTCTCATTGGCATTAACCTTGACGAAATCAGTGCAAATCCTTAGCTTCAAGCATTGTAGTCCCTGAAATAAACTGAAAACAAAATAGAATTGGCTCACTGTTAATATACCTGCATGTGTTGATATGTAGCTTGAAATGCTAAAGTCTAATAATAATCTCCTTCCTGTCTCTGTTGTTTCCTTCCAGGCCGCCAACTATTTGGACATCAAAGGTCTGTTAGACGTCACCTGCAAGACGGTTGCCAACATGATTAAAGGCAAAACCCCGGAGGAGATCAGGAAGACTTTTAACATCAAGAACGATTTCACAGAGGAGGAAGAAGCCCAGGTAGTGAATCCATCCATCAGTCATAACACAAGAAAAAAAGTCTTAATTTTTTAGGAAATGATGTCACTTTTGAGTGATGCTGAAGTTATCACAGCTTTGAGAGTTGACCTGTTACTCATCCCGTTTCTCCTGTCTGTCGTCCACAGGTACGCAAAGAGAACCAGTGGTGTGAAGAGAAGTAAAGGGGAGGGTCCGGCCAACACTACCACCCTGAAAAGGAATCGTCCCGCTAACTGGTTGCACTGGCGTTGTTCATACTTGTCAATATTTACAATGTAGTATATTTAGAGCTACACACTCTCCCTCCTCTCAAGTTCTGTATTCCAATAGCATGACCATTTTAATCTGCCTGTGTGTTGTTAATAATTTAAACAAAAAAAGCTTTTTTCTGTTTCCACACACGTTGTGTATTCACTAGAACCAGGTGTCATGGCTTTCTATCCTTAAAGATTAGACGTCTCCCCGTTATAATTGCTACGGTTCTCTTTTTTACTGGACATGTTTGTTTTCCATTTAGATTTGAGATTTATTTTTAGATTAAATAAATTGCTTTTTTTTTGACAACGGAGATGAACGAGTGGATATTTTATTTTTGCTCTGTAAATGCAACCGTTCTGTGAAAGTGCTTTCAGAGAGGACGGGTTGTTTTTAAAGGAAAAGTTCGAGTTGGAAAGTTGTTTGTTTTGCGCGACGTCCTTTAGGCATCGAGTATCTAATTCCTAATTCATGTTATTTTGAATTGGAAACTTTTCTCAGATAAAGCTCTGATGCTGTTTTTCTGGGATGATCAATCGTATATTGAAGGAGTAAATAAAACTCATAAAAAGGCTGCCGTCTGTTTGTGTTTATCTTCAAAAGGAAAAGTCTCACTGGAATCATTTTTGAAATATTCAAAACACTTTAATACATCAAACGAAAACAAGTAATACATCAGAGGCGTAAAAAATACAGAAGACATCTTTGAGGGGTTCCCACTACTGATCAAAATAAAACAAGCTATTTCTAGCACAAGAGCTCTCTCTGCTGGAGGAAAACAGTTTTGCTGTACAAAGCTCAGTTTAGTTTGTCCGTTGAAGCGGCAAGCAGAGCGGTAACTTAAAGCCTTTTCAGTCAGAAATCAATTATTGTTACACTGAAGTTGGAACATGCACAGATTGAGAAGGTATCATTTGAACGCTGCAGCAGTAACACTTGATCAAAACAAAACGCATAACGCACAAGAGGACAAAATGTATTGCTTTAAGAAATGGTAGAAACTAAAAGAATCTTTTTTTTTTTGTTATGTTTTTTTTTTTTTTACATAAAAACATATAAAAGTTTAATTATAATAGGGAATTCCAACATTTATAAAACTTTACAACACAATATAATAGTAACCATTTGGTCTCAGATTAGTTTATGGAGCTGCAAAAATATTCAGTCAAAGGAAAACAACCAAAGGGTTTCCCCACCGGCTTCTGACCTTTTAAAGATCACAACCTCATACAAAAATATCAAAAACAGGAGAAAAATTCAACGGTTGATATAGTGAGAGACTGAAAGTGCCTAAAAATGTAACTTGCAGGTGGGGAGGCTGTCATGTGAGACCTTTTTTAAACTGTTTAAAAGGTTGAACAGGTAGCTTTAAAATGTTTGGAAATTGAATGAAAATGAAGTCGAGCTGATTAAAAATAAATGAACACTCTTTCGAGGTTCTGCTGGTGTTTGTCTCCCCTCTGCTGGTCTGAGTCATGGTGATGGATGATGTGATCTGATTTGAAGGAAAGTGTTAATGTCCTGTAAAGACATTTAGTTTGTGATTGTCATTTAGGTCAAAGCACAGGGTAAGCTTTGGAAAAAAGCACTGAGTGGGGTTTAGGATTTATATTTCTAAAATCAACAGGTATCCTCAAAGGAAGTATTTTAGTCTAGCTGCAGCAGATGGAGCCAAACAACTCCAGAATAACTGCCTCCTCTGCAGGCCTGCCTCTTTATAACGGGAACTGTTTTGGTACGTGGCGGAGAGCCCAATCAGGGGCGGGATCCTCCAACAACGAGGCTCTAAAGCCAAGCTCTTCTTCCAGAGACTTGTGGGTTCAACACACGTGTAAATCAACTCAGATAATGACCGTGAAGTCACGCATTTAGTTGTGGTCAAAAGTTTACATACATTTGTAAAGAACATGTATTTCATGACAGTCTTGACTTTTCAATAATTTCTACAACTCTTATTTTTCTGTGATGATTGGAGCACATACCCCTTAAAAATCACAAAAATAAAAGAACCAAACTTCATGATTTTTGTTTCGTGACAAAGTAGAATGTGCTCCAATCACTCTATCACAGAAAAATAAGAGTTGTAGAAATAATTGAAAAGTCAAACTTTTGACCACACCTGTACATTATGATGAGGTTAGTAGTTAAGCTAACTAACATGTGCAGGCTGGTATCACATCTGACCAATAATAAGATCAGATAACCTTTTATTATCCCAAATGTCCAGACTTTTAGCTTGCCTGGATGCTTGATTGTATAATTGACCATTTAAAGAAGATGAGTGAAAGGCCTCAGTGATCTGTTACTGATGTATTTTGTCTTGAAACGGGTGTGGAGAACCCCTTGAACTGAGACACAGCCAGTATTTGTACTCCATGGCTTCCTCTTCTTCGCTGCACCACCCTCAGTCTTCTTCTTTAGTTTGATTTAACAAAAAGGAAAACAGAATATAGTAAAATATGAGATGATTGGAGAGACGATGCTCTTGGTGGCTCTGGAGGAATCACTGCGACTCTGTTAGCACTTTGAGAGAAAGTCCTGCTGCCTTGGCGACGGACAGCGTTGCCGTGGCTCCGTGCGAGGGCCTGCCGCTCAGGTCCAGGTGTGTGTAGGTGTGTGTAGAGGTGTGTGTGTAGCTGTGTTTGGGCTGACAGGGGTCTCCGCGCTTGCTGGCGGTCTGCAGCGGGGGTAAGCGCGTGTGTGAGCGTGTGTGTGTCGGCGGAGACAGTGGGAGGTGTGTTGATGGAGAGCCGGGGGGCGGCGGCGGGGGGGAGCAGCCCGGGGAGG